GGCACACACACACACAACACAATGCCACGTTGGAAGGAAGAAGCTAGTATGTGACTGAGACATCTCAGACTGTGAGGGCTATGGAAGGCTAATCCGTGAAATGAAACTTCACTGAGAGGAGGGGGTGAGAGGGGGAAACATAAAGAGATAAGACAGAGAGAGCAGAGGAAAGAGAGACGGAAAAAGAGAGAGCGAGACAGAGAGGCGAGAGCGGCAAGCCCTTGAGCTACCAGGATCAGCAGACAGACGGCGGAGGCTCAGGATGTGTCGCGCCTCCGAGCTGCAGGTAAGGCGGGGGGAGGACAGTGTCACTTCACCCCACAGAGGCAGGGAGAGGACTGTATCAAGGCAGGGAACCAAGCCAACCCAGGGAACAGGAAGCACTATGTCTAGCCTAGGACAGAGAGGGGAAGCTTGCATTGTATTGCATGTCCGCAAAAACAAGACCAAGACCAAAACACAGGCTACTCAAATTCTATTTCAATATCCTCCTCCAGCTGTTATCTCTGAAATCACTGCCCTGGTCTTTGTCACTTGAGACCCAATGAGAGTGGCTGAGTAAAACTAGCTATTATCTGTTGGTAACCGTGACCATGGTAATGCAGTACAAACAGACCCATGAGATGTGTGTGTGTGTGTGTGTGTGTGTGTGTGTCTGTGTGTGTGTGTGTCTGTGTGTGTGTGTGTGAGAGTCTCTCTCGCTCTTTGTCCCTGAAGATGATGAAGGATGCAGGTCGAGTGTCGGCGACAGTGCTGAAGTCGTGCCTTGGCGCTAGCTAGAGTCATGCCACCACTCCTCTTCACCTGCCACAGGTGTCTCTTTCATCTCCAGAGCGCCGAGTCTCACTGGCACCGCTCATCTTCTCCGTCTGTATCCATGGAGGATACCTTTGTTCTGGCTGACTCATTCTTCCAAATGGGAGGAATGAGGAAAATAACCAAATGTGCAGTATGTTTGACTCAGACGATTGTAGTTTTCGCTCTATGCATATGTATTACCTATTTGTAAATAATTCTGTCTAATTAAATGGGGTGAGAAGCTCCTTTCGAAGGAACAATTTGGATGAAAATGGAGTCGTTTAGTATTTCAGTGAGAAAATTAAAGATGCTTTTAAAAATGCACATGAACAAAGATTACAAATCATAATCTACAGATGTAGGATCTTAATTGTATCACTCTTTTGTTGATGAGAATTTTCATGCACAGCAGGAAATGCAAACTTTTAGTGTATTTAAAAAGGCTTCTAAAGTTTCTAATTTCCACTTTCAAATGTCAGACTTTATTTGCCCTAACAAAAAATGTGTCAACCCCTACAAAAAAGTCAATTAATTATAATACACATAATAATTCACATTTCCTTTTGCTGCAGGATTATTTTCCAGCTGTATCAAACTGGCTAAAATGAAGAATGGTGCATCTGTATGGTGCATTAAGGGGGATATAAAACTAGCACTCAATTTTAAGGGCCATAAAAACAAGGGCTGGAATTTGAATGATAAAAGTAGCAATTTGTAAATCAATGCTTTTATGAGAGGAATGTAATTATTTGCCATTACACCACCTGTTCAGAGGGCAATGGTTTGTGTAGTGCAGTTTGGATACTTTATGGAACTGGTGGTTATTCTATATGCAGGTATAGGCTATTGTGGGATTTAATCTCACTTGCAAATTCTGGGGTGAGTCAGACTTGTCTGTCAGCCTCTTTTTCTTAAACGTAAACGTTAAGTGTCTTGTCTCTGCAATTAATTGGAAAGGAAACCCTTTCTCTCACCCTGGGATAATTGTATTTTGGGTAGGACTGAGGGAGAGCTAATAATGCCCCTTTCTGCCTCCCTCTGATCCTCTGTTCAGGATTAATAATTATACAATGTAATGACATCTCAATCATTTCAAAATGGGATATTCCTACAAATCTTACATTTACATTTTTCATATAGGCTTATTCCATGTCTTTATTTTTGTATATATGTTTTTTTAAAAACCCCCCCCCCCCCCCCCCCCCCCCCCCCTTTTCTCCCTAATTTTGATCTTGTCTCATCGCTGCAACTCCCCAACTGGCTCGGGAGGCGAAGGTTGAGTCATGCGTCCTCCGAAACATGACCCCCTTTTTTTTCTAAGGGGGTAGATCAGCTTAATATTGCAGATAGATTGTAACTTCCATCAATGTAATTGTCTGCATCACTTCCAATCCCCCATGTTTTATATATATATATATATATATGTATATATATATATACATACACATACATATATACACATATACTCACATACATACACACATACATACATACACACATACATACATACATACATACATACATACATACATACATACATACATACATACATACATACATACATACATATACATATCCTTTAAAAATATATATATTCCCCTTTATTACTTTCCAACCCCACCACCCTTTCCCTACTTGGAGTAAACTAGTGAACAACAATGCTTAGGCCTCTACTTCCAGCGTATACTTACTATCTACATTTTATGGACACAGTCAATTTTACAATAATTATATTTTGTTTGTTTTTTCTCCTGAACTTCTTCTACTCTCAAACTCTCCGATCATTTTCATTATGTCCATCCGGTTTGCTTCTATATGCCATATCTTTCTAACTGTGCTCTTTCACAAAAGCTCTCAACCTACAACCTATATACTTATTATGGACACAGTATGCTTTCATTATTAGTTATCTTGTTATAGTCCCATCCTTCAACTCCATTCAACAACACCCATCTATCTCTTAACACCATCCATATAGGATTTCTATTTGCCATATATTTTTCAACTGTACTGTGATGTTTTACAAAGGTTCTGAACCTTTCTATTCTCATTGTTTCTACAGATTGTTAAAAGTATTATTATATTATTGATCGATTGACTATGACTTTTCAGATCACCCAGTAATGCTATCTGCAGGTAAATATTGCAATCCTTTAGTCATTCCTGGACCTGTGTCCAAAAACAAGCTACAAATGGACAGTAACAAAACAAATTATCTAATGATTCTGTCTCTTCGCAGCAAAATCTGCAGAGCTGGGAAGATTGTATCCCGAATATAAATAACATTCTATTGGTATCAATAATTTAAATTGAAAGATTCTAAGTTTTGAATCCGGTGTCGTTTTGCATATCAGTTCATAAACACTATGCCATGGGATCGGTACGTCAAAAATCTCTTCCCAACTATTTTACAATCTATATGGGACGGCTGTCAATCCTTTGGTCCTTAAATGAAACTGGTATACTTTTTTATTTATCACAGTTTTCCTTAACCAATTATGTTCTTTAATGCAAGGCCGACAGACAAGTTCCTTACTTTCTCCCCCTTCCACTTTCCTCTTCCATTTTTGCGGTAAGGCTGCAATTATTTGGTTGTAATTTTGGTAGAGCAGACATTTCCATATGTTTTTGTTAGCTGCATGTGCGACATAACTCCACCAGTCCTACCGATGATATCATTTACGAAGATTATACCTTTTTTTAAACATTTTGTCAAAAAAAAGAGGTTTGAGTTTAACCACAAAATTTGTTGCATTATTTGTTCTGTCGTTTCTGGAGGATTCAATTGAAATTGCAACCAACTTTCTATGGCTTGTTTTAGAAATAGTGATATTTGGGAGATGATTTCCTTTTCAAATAACTGAAAGTGAGTGGTTGTAATCTGAATAAAGGGAAAAAGGCCATTCTTGAACATTGGGTGAGACAATCTTACTAATTTTCTGGAGAACCAGTTCGGATTTAAGTATAACTTTTGTATGACTGAAGCTTTTAGTGAGAGGTCTAATGCTTTAATATTTAATCATTTCTGTCCTCCGAATTCATATTCATTATATAAATATGCCCTTTTAATTTTGTCTGGCTTGCCGTTCCAAATAAAATTGAATATTTTTTTCTCATATAATTTATAAAACTGTTCGCTAGGCGTAGGCAAGACCATAAGCAAATAGGTAAACTGGGATAATACTAAAGAGTTAATCAGGGTGATTTTTCCACAAATTGACAGGTATTTTCCTTTCCATGGTAGTAAGATCTTATCTATTTTTGCTAACTTTCTATTAAAATGTATTGAAGTGAGATCATTTATTTCCTTTGGGATATGTATTCCGAGTATATCCACATCACCATCAGACCATTTTATTGGTAAACTACATGGTAATGTAAAAATTGTATTTTTTAGTGATCCAATACGTAATATAGTACATTTGTCATAATTTGGTTGTAATCCAGAGAGGTTAGAAAATGTATCTAGATCCTCTATGAGGCTGTGGAGGGATTCTAGTTGTGGATTTAAAAGAAAACGTACAATGACACCTTTGTTTTTAAGCCCTGGATATCTAGTCCCCTGATATTATTGTTGGATCTGATTTTAATAGCTAACAAACCGCGCTTCTTAACACCCGCCCACTTAACCCGGAAGCCAGCCGCACTAATGTGTCAGAGGAAACACCGTTCAACTGACGATGAGGTCAGCCTGCAGGCGCCAGTCCCGCAACAAGGAGTCGCTAGAGCGTGATGAGCCAAGTAAAGCCCCCCTGGCCAAACCCTCCCCTAACCTGGACGACGCTGGGCCAATTGTGTGCTGCTCTATGGGACTCCCGATCACGGCCGTTTGTGACACAGCCTGGGATCGAACCCGGATCTGTAGTGACACCTCTAGCACTGCGTTACAGTGCCTTAGACCGCTGCGCCACTCGGGAGGCCTATTTCATGTTTTAATGTAAACATTGATTCGTGAATTGTGGATGCATGAAGAGAACGGGTCTCCAAAAAGGGCCTACCTTGACCTGGCATGAACCACTCACACCTTTAAATAGGTACATTCTCTATAACAGTGATAATCACACACAAAAGGCAGTACTATTGCACACTTGACATTACAATGACGAATACTTAAGACATTAATGAAAACAAAGACACTCATTTGCATAAACATTACCGTTCCTGATAAACAATGAAAATACCCCTTAAACGGGAGAAAATAAATGTCGTTGGGTGAGCAACCTGTGGCTATCGATTAACATTCATATTTAGCATACACAGCATCATATCAGAGTGGTAGTAATGCAGTCATTTTGCGTTATAATGGTCCTCATGGGTTCTTTCCATTTCACCACCTCCTCTACATTGACCTTACTTGTATTTAACTTCCTCTGCCTACCTGCAATAGTTATTCTTTTTAGATCTGAGTTCTGTTACAATTGTGTGTCAGGTTTAGAGCTGGCATGTCCTGTGGCAGTCAGTCTGAGGAAACAGAACAGAACAGTGAACAACAGATCCTGTCAGTACACAAATACGGTTGGCTGTCACTTTCCTTCCCTGGCACTCTGTTATTTAACTCTCCTTCATTACTTCCTCTCCCTCCTCTCATTTTACATTTACATTTTAGTCATTTAGCAGACGCTCTTATCCAGAGCGACTTACAGTTAGTGAGTGCATACATTTTCATACTGCTCCTCCTCTCCCTCCTCTCCTTGTCTTCCCTCCTGTCCTGACAGGACCTCCCTCGGCGCCACAGAACCTGGTCTACAACATTAACCAGACCACCGTCAGCCTGGAGTGGAGCCCGCCGGCCGACATGGGCGGTCGTAACGATGTCACCTACAGGATTATGTGCCGGCGCTGCAGCTGGGAGCCGGAGGAGTGCGTGCCGTGCGGGGGGAACGTGGGCTACTCCCCCCAGCAGGCGGGATTAGTGGACACCTATGTAAACGTGGTGGACCTACTGGCCCATGCCAACTACACCTTCGAGGTGGAGGCCGTCAATGGGGTCTCTGACCTCAGCCGCACCCAGAGGCTGTTTGCCGCAGTCAGCGTCGCCACCAGTCAAGCAGGTAGGCTCATAGAGATACAATATAATGTTCCGTTTAATTCTGTGGTTTGGCTAGAACAAAGCCCTGCGTCATCACTGAGAAGGTAGAGCTGCTGGGGTGTTATTTTACCTGCACTTCAATATTCCTCTGCTGTGGGCTGGTGTGGGCTGGAATTGCTTTTATGATTAAGTTACAAAGAAATACAAATGTTCATATGCAGCATTTTTGAGTCTCCTAGATGTTCAGGATAAGCGAGGCAGATATGGCCCTTTTAGGATACAGAATTATGTTAAAAGTTTGCTCTTTGGTCTCAGCACATTCTGACAAAACTATATGGGTATTTTGCAATGAGGTTGGCAGTGCAGTTCAATTGAGAACATGCACCTTAAGTACCTTAAGCATTCCACATTGGCTTTAATGATTATAGGCTGATATTATCCACAACATTTCTAGTTTGCATATTACCCAGATTAATTTAATGTGTGCGTCGGAGCTATGGTGGCAAAAATTATTAACGTAGCAAGGCTTGCTGCCAGATGGACCATAGGAAACAGTGTGTGTCCCTAACACCCCTGGGAACCTACCATAATTAAAATGCTGTATTTCTTTGGTGACACACTCCAACTCAAGGCAGCACTAGACCTTTTTTAAATTAATTATTTATATGTATCCACCAAACAAGATTTATCTTTCATGCTCAAGCATCCATGAAATACAGTTGGCGTAAAAAGGGCAAACTTACTAGGGTCATTAAAAGAGGATTGCACAGCCATTGTGGCTCGTAAAGAGGGCATGGGGAACATTATCATCATAACCATGTTGCTAACCAGTATCTACAGATGTAGGATCTTAATTTGAGCCAGTTTGCTACAACAGGAAAATAACCCTACAGCAACAGGAAATGTGAAATATTATGTGGATTATAATTAATGGACATTTCTGTAGGGGTAGGTACATTTTCCGTTAGGGAAAATCAAGTCTGAAATGTTAAAGTGGAAATTACAAACTTCAGATCAAATTAAGATCCTACATCTGTACGAGCATTCTGGGACTTGTGGTGCACTCTAAGCCTCTTGTGGTATACGTTTCAATTTTACTTTGAACCACCTTTCAGATTACTGGCTAACTGAAATGAGGATTGGGATGTTGTCTTTTTGAGTTTAGCTTCACCCATACCCAACCGTATACATGAATGCAGAAGAGCTGCAAGTCTTTGAATTCTTTGCTGAAAGAATTGGGTCAATCCTGCACATTCAGCCATGTCCTGCGGTGCTATGATACTCTCCTGGTAAGATGAAGCTGCATACAGTATTCCGAAATGTTTCATTGCACTCATCTAGAATACTGTACCACATTATGTTTTGCATGTATTGAGAAATGAAAAGATCAAATAAACAAAGTAGAGGAACTAATATGGCGACAACCTCCATTCCTAGATTGCCAAAAGGTTACAGAGAGAGAAAGAGATGGGAGGAACAGGATGGATAATTGCTGCCAGGCAGCAGAATGAATTTGGGATAAACTGTAGAGAATGATGTATGTTCTGTGACACAGTTGATGACAGAGACGCACGCTGGATGGTGCTGGTGGTTGCCTTGCCAAGGATACATGGACACTGCAAGGAGGGAGACCTGCAGGAAAACACAGGGAAAACAATTAACACATGGCTCTCTCAGAGCCTCTTATAATTACATGTTGACAACAGACTATTACTCTGCTAACCCTGGGGAATATTTAGCCATCATAAATGGAGGGAAATAAAGGGAGGCATTTTGATGAGGAAGGAATTATGTTTACGTCTTAAAGCTAGCTTTAGGCTACTATTTGAAGCTATGTAGGCTACCATTTGAAGCAAACCTAGTTTGAGATGCACTCTACTATTTATTGTAATTAGATGTGTTGATATATGTTTTATGAACCTATAGCCTAGATACATTATGACTGATTTCAACATTATGGATGTAAGAGACTGTTTGGCTTCAGTTTGATGATGAGCAAACACATATTGTTAATGAGATCCTCATGTGAGAGAGCAGGAAGAATCAGAGTGTTGTTGTGCACGTAGAAGGCCAGACATTAACCCCGTCCTGCGCAGCTCTTAGCACTGGCCCCTCACTGTGTCCGGCTGCTGTTCCCAGAGCCGTTAGGGAACGCTCCAGTGCTTTGTAATTGGAACATCGGCGCTTCCTAAAACAATGGCCCCTTTCCGAGCAAGCATGCATGGCCACATCGTTAAAGAATGACTGCATTATTAAACCCTTTACGGCTCATCATCCAGAATTGATTAACCTTTCCTGGGGATGGAGGTAGAGAGAAAAGAGAGAGAGAGAGATGAGAGAGAGAGAGAGAGAGAGCGATCTAGAGAGAGAGAGAGAGAGAGAGAGAGAGCGCAGCGCTAGAAGAGATATAGAATTAGAGAATAAGAGAGCGAGAATATAGAAGAAGAGAGAAGAGAGATAAAGCTCCTCTCTCTCTCCCTCTCTCTCTCTCTCTCTCGCTCTCTCTCTCTTCCTCTCTCTTCTCTCTCGCTCTCTCTCCTCTCTCTCTCTCTCCTCCTCCTCTCTCTCTTCTCTCTCTCTCTCTCTTCTCTCTCCTCTCTCCCTCTCTCTCTCTCCCTCTCTTCTCTCCTCCATGTCTCTCTCTACTCTCTCTTCTCTTTTTCAGCAACTGCCTTAAAGAGAGGAGGGATAGGAGAGACCCTCTAGCGGGTGGTGCCTCTCTCTTCTCCTGCATGATAATCAGCCTGTGCAGAGGAGAGGAGAGGAGAGGAGAGGGAGCTGGAGGAGAGGAGCAGAGGGACTGACTGGGAGAAGGGATGCTGCACAGTGCTGCTCGAATACAGATGGTGATACATCTGATGAGGAATTCACACCTCCCCTATTCACACCTCCCTATACCAAAGGAAGTGTGTGGAGTGAGGCTGTGATGAGGCAGGCTGCAGCTGTGGAGCTGAGGAACTGTACAAGGTGCTGAGTGCTTATTGTTCCAAGTAAAATCTAATGACCTCTCAGCTCAGTGTTTAAATAGCTACTGTTGGAGATGCAGTGCAAGTTCATCATCTTGATTTCTCTCTGACTCCCCCTTCGCGTCCTCACCATGTCCTCCTCCACAGGTGAATGAATAGGAATTTGTCATCACATCTTGATGATGTGGAGTTTTTCCGGAGGACTTTTCGTGGAAAGTTAGGCTAGCTAGACGGAGAGTGCATTTCAATCAGGACTCTATTGTTGCTTGACAACTCTACAGAGCTGCCCTCGAAGGTCCTCCATGCTCCGGCTGCTTTCATGCCGCCACACTTGTAAACAAGGCCTTTTGTTCTGTCAGAAGCCTGTGAGTGGGAACTGCTCATGGAATAACCATTCATATTTATTCAAGAGAGTGTGTGTGCACATCTCAGCCAGAAAATCTACTGGACAACGAGGTAGAAATAAGATTGGAATTGGTTAAGTGGAATGGCTATAGGAGCACAATCTGTGGCAGAACACTCAGCCACAGATGATGATGATGTTAAGGTACGAGCAGCAAGAGGCATAAACAATATCATAAAGAGGGAAAGGGGAAAGCTGTGGAAAATTATTTTTATGCTGACTGCTCTTATTAGCCAGGAGCAGCGAACAAATAGAAACTTCTACTATCGCTGAGCAATGTTGTTTGTGTTCAGAGCCCTCTAGCATGCATGAGTCAGAGTGGAATTGGGATATACTGTAACTAAGCAACGTGTATTATTTACACCTAGATGAAGATTGGGGTTGTCTTTTATTCTTATGTCATCATGCTTCATGGTGGAACTGTTGAGTTGAAGTGGATGGAAAATATAGAAAGCTTTTCTTTGATACATTGTTACAGATTAATGGATTCTGATAAAACAATGTTGCTTATTGGTTTATTTTGAGAGAATCTCCTTCAGGACTATTGTTGTGTAACTTCATATGTACTTAAAAGGAGATTGGAGTGCCCTCAAGAACAAACCTATTTAAACATTCAAAGGGAAGAACAGGCTATTCCCTTTGCCACCATTTCACTCAGTGAAATATCCATTCTAGCATGCATGAATGTAAGCTAAGCATTTCACTTTGATCTGAAAAGCCTCTGCTCTATCTTTGCGTGAGAAACAAATCTCCCCCTTTCAACAAAGTTGTTGGGCTGCTAGTATTGTCAGGACTACTTGACTGTCTGATGTCAGTCATTTGTGTGAAGGTCTACAGCAACATAAAAGTATTAGTGTTATGAATGGATAATCAATCTCCATTAACACAGTGAAATTAGTTAGATAAATGTTGGGAATGAGAAGTATTTGGATTTCTAGGGCAACCATGCAAGCTGATACTCTCAGGTTCTTGAGCGGTAATCTATACGGTCACTTTATCGACACTTTATCACCACAAAATGGATATTGCTCAATGCATTGGTGAGAGTAACACTTTTGGGGACAATAAGGCCCATTGATTAATTCCTTTTATGTCCTAATCTGTCATGGTGGCCGTAAACAGAATGGATTGATTGATTCTGAGGATTCCCCACTGACTACCACCACCGGGACCGGTGTAATTCTCTAGTTAAGCGGATACTCCTTTCTAGCATTTGTCTGTGGTTTTACGTTACCTGGGAGTCCATTATTTTCTCTATCTTTTTTCTCTGTCCCTCCACATGCAGTAATTTGATGAGAGCCGGGCAATGCAGTCCAATTCAACAGCTGCAATAAGACAGCGGTGGTCTCCCCGAAGCACAAGCTCTCCGGCACTTAACCTGTTGCTTTCTGTAAATGCCTCCTGATTTGTCTGTCACCCAATCCGTCAGCAATGAATAATTTTCATGGAAGGTGCACTTTAATTACTTTCCCATTTAAATGGCATTATCGTGGCCTATCTAGGTAATTAATCTCCTCAAGTATCCTGTTTCAGCCTTTTATTGCTGGCAGACGAGCCACCTAAATCCCCCTGAATCTGCCGTGCATGACTGAGCTTTAGCTCACAGTAGCCCCACAGTGTTCCGTCTTTCCCCTTGACTTGGTGCCTATCACCGACAGTGTACAGCCCAGTGGCAGAGGGGCTTTTCTATGGGAACACACAGAGTTTAAGCGCTCCGTTCACCCTGTCAGAATGACAGGCCTGTTTCTCTCTCTCTGCCTTGGAAAGGACACATTTACAGACACTGTTACAGACCAACTGTGTGGAGGAGCTGTGAAAGAAATTTCCCACTGGGCACACACTGGTTGAATCAATGTTGTTACAACGTCATTTCAATGAAATTACATTGAACCAATGTGGAATAGACATTGAATTGACTGTGCCCAGTGGGTTGTTACCGTCCAAATAGCATTTAAAAAAATAACTTTTTATTCCTTAGTCGTTCTGAACTGTGAACACATTGATGAAAGCAATATCTATCAATCTCTCAGTCTAGGCTTTTGTGTTTGTGTGTGTCTGAGAGTGTTGTGTTTGCAGTTATGCGTGAACATTTGTAGAAAATGATGTTATTTGCCAGAAACTGCAACTTTTTCATGATTATGTTGTTAAAAGGCTAAGGTGCCCATTCTTATTCAGTTTCATCTTCTAGCTGGCGTCTCCTTGCAGAAGTCAGGATGGAGACCAGTTAATTATTTAGACACCTGTGAAACTGCAAACAAAGTTGGAGGCAAAGTTTTTCTGGATCATTCCCTGATCATCTTCCAATCTTCACTGTTTATGTCAAGGACTAGGAATCAATTGTTAGTTTTACCTTACAGCTCAATCCTTTAAGACCATTGGCATATATGACATACTGGCATACAGGACAATTCCATGTAGTACAGATTATGAGCTCAGTGAAATAAATGTCCTTACAATGAGTAGGACAAAAATGGAACTCTAATATAGTTCATTTCAAGTTTGGTTTGACTCTTATTAATGAGTTTCTTTGACTGACAGGTCCTAATTGAAGTAGTTGGTGGCTGGGCGGACATACCAGACGAGGGCTGGGATAAATAATTGCATGACCCGGGAACAATGCAACACTAATGAAAAATAATGAAAATATTGTTAGCACTGATAGAAATGACTCAACACAGGTTCAGAGACAATGCTTGCATTGTTATATAGAGGAATGGATTTGGCAATGCATAACCCTTGCTTTCAATGAGGCGGCACTTATTGTGTACCTCTGAGTTGTTCAAGAATGTATGTAACTTGTGTCTGTAATGCCAAGTGTGTAATTACCTCCCGCGCTTTCAAGATGTATACATACATATTCATGGTGACAAATGGATATAATTATAAACATTTGGCTGAATAAAATTATGTTGTAACAGCTTTATTAAAGGGATAGTTTGGGATTTTGGCAACTATCTACGTCCCCCAGAATCAGATGAACTCGTGGATACCAGTATGAAGTAAGTTAGAGGTACAATGCCTTCAGAAAGTATTCATACCCCTATTCCAAAATAATGTGTGTTACAGCCTGAATTCAAAATGGAATAGTTTTTTTCTTACCTATCTACACACAATACCTCATAATGAAAAAGTGAAGAAACAAAATGGGAAATGTTCTTATTTACATAAGTATTCACAACCCTGAGTCAATACTTTGTAGAAGCGTCTTTGGCAGTCTCTAAGAGCTTTCCACACCTGGATTGTGCAACATTTGCCCATTTTTATTTTCAAAATTCTTCAAGCTCTGTGAAATTGGTTGTTTATCATTGCTAGACAACCATTTTCAGGTCTTGCCATAGATTTAAGTCAAAACTGTACCTCGGCCACTCAGGAACATTCACTGTCTTCTTGGTAAGCAACTCCAGTGTAGAAGTGGCCTTGTGCTGAAAGGTGAATCCATCTTCCAGTGTCGGGTGGAAAGCAGACTGAACCAGTTTTTCCTCTAGGATTTTGCCTGTGCTTAGCTCCATTCCATTTATTTTTTATCCTGAAAAACTCCCCAGTCCTTAACGATTACAAGCATACCCATAACATGATGCAGCCAACACTATGGTTGTAAATATGGAGAGTGGTGCTCAGTAATGTGTTGTATGGGATTTGCCCCAAACATAACACTTTTTGTATTCAGGACAAAACTGAATTGCTTTGCCACCTTTGTTTGCAGTACTACTTTAGTGCCTTGTTGCAAACAGAATGCATGTTTTGGAATATTTTTTATTCTGTACAGGCTCCCTTCTTTTCAATTAGGTTTATATTGTGGAGTAACTACCATGTTGTTGATCCATCCTCAGTTTTCTCCTATCACAGCCATTAAACTCTGTAACTGTTTTAAAGTCACCATTGGCCTCATGGTGAAATCCCTGAGTGGTTTCTTTCCTCTCCGGCAACTGAGTTAGGAAGGACGCCTGTATCTTTGTAGTGACTGGGTGTATTGATACACCATCCAAAGTGTAATTAATAACTTCACCATGCTCAAAGGGATATTCAATCCCTGCTTCTTTTTTTTCTTCTTTTTTTACCCATCTACCAATAGGTGCCTTTCTTTGCGAGGCATTGGAACACCTCCCTGGTCTTTGTGGTTGAATCTGTGTTTGAAATTCACTGCTCGACTGAGGGACCTTACAGATAATTGTATGTCTGGGGTACAGAGCTGAGATAGTCAATCAAAATCATGTTAAACACTATTATTATTGCACATTTTTACTCCTGGAATAATTTTTGGCTTGCCATAAGAAAGGGGTTGAATACTTATTGACTGAAGACATTCCAGCTTTTCATTTTTTATTAATTAATTTGACATTATGAGGTATTGTGTGTAGGCCAGTGACAAACAATCTCAATTTAATCAATTTTAAATTCTGTAACAAAACAAATTGTGGAAAAAGTTAATGGGTATGAATGATTTCTGAAAGCGCAGTAGTAGCTATTCCCATTGACTTCCAGTCATTGCGCTAAGGCTAGTTACCAATTGCGCAAAAAAAAACGTTGTTCAAACTGCAAGCATATTCACCTTGTGCTTGAAACACAAATTCTATTTACGATGAACCAGGGAGATCCTTTGGAGAAGTTGCAGCTCACTGCTCAGTCCAGTTGACCAGTAAAGGGCCCTACACACCCTACGCAAACAGAGCGACGGAGCGTCGTATACGGTCAGTTCCAGCATTTAAGTACATAGAACTACGTAGAAATTGACGCTCAATCGCTGCGTT